TTCACCAGTTAACATTTTCATCAACTCGTGGTGATCTATATAGTTTTACGTAACTTTAATTCTTCAAAGTAAAATAATAAAGCATGTTGCAGAAAATAAAAATCAGTTTTATGATTTGCTGTTTAATGAAAACCAAAATGCTTAATATATGCATGTATATATGACTTATATGCTTTAGTATGTTTTAACGTGCTAATTATGTAGCTCGTTTTATTTGTCGATACCATTTCAAATCTCACATTTTAAAAATGCTTTAGTTAGAAATATGTGTAATGTTTGTTCACATGTAACTGATAGCCAAAACGGAAGTAATTTCATTTGTGAAATGATTACCTATTCTTCCTAATATATTATCACGAGAAACAATTTTCTCTATAATGGCCCATAAGTAAGTCTAAATCAAAATGAAGAACATTAATAGCACTTATTTGCTATATTTATGAGCTGTTAGTAGTCTTTAAGCCAACATCTCCACGAAGAAAAACATTTAAAAAACTAACGTACACAAGCGGTTATCATTAAGCTTCTAATGACTTCAACTTTGTCATTACTAGGGAAATACTGAGCAATGAAAATAACAAAAAACAAGTAGCGTGACATTATCCTGTAAGTTTTCAAGGCTGTTGACATTACAGATATCTCCTAGTGATCTCAGCAAGAGCACGCATGGTAATCAATATTTAATTGCCTTTTCTTTGTTGTTTACAATTATTTAACATTATCAGATGAAAAGTACTTTTATGTCAATATACATGGAATGAATCATCACCAGACCGTACCAGAAGGGGAAAATAAGGTATTTCTTCTGGTTAATTAACATCACTGAGCACTATTCTCTTCCAAAGACTAAGTGTTACGGAATTAAAATAGTAAATGTCAAAGGGTAAAAAATGATAGAGTATATCCAGCTTCTAACTGAACTTTAAATCCATTTTTGTAACTTCATCTGTGCTTCTTTGTTTATGATAACAAGCATACAGGATATAATTATTTTTCATTGTAAAAACAGCATTAACTATTGATCTTTTTGAGTTATGCACGTCTTTCTTGACTAAATCTGCTACAAAAACAAAACAATAGATATGCAAAACAATAAGCAAAGTTATATGCTTAACATGCTACGGATTGGCATTTATGTCCAATCACGAGACTTGTTTTTAATGTAACACTTTTAGAAAACACCTTTTCTTATCATCAAAAATTATGTTAACTATAAAAAGAACACTGTTTGTCAAAAAAACATCTAAGCTGATACATCATATCTATGATTTTCTGTTTAACTATTCCATTTACTTGGAAATACAAGTATAAAGAACTAACTTTCATTAGACTAACACTGTAGCATCCTTCTTTTATAGGATGCTAGCTGTGACTCACGTATCACAGTAAGGAGTCGTTGTTCATACCAAGGAGAATGCAAAGTGGTTTTACATTATTGTTCTTCTGCATATTAATAATTTCAAACAACAACAAGATAGAAATAACAACGTTTTTATAGGACGTAGAAATATATTGCAAATACAAATTTTAGTTTTGGCTGTTAAAATCTACAGTAAACGAATGATTTATACTTTCATTTGTATAAGATATGTATTCGTTTATATCTAAAATTTATCATTTTACAAAATCTGTGACTTGGTAAGTTTATCAAATTAAATTGCACTGGTTTTTTCAGAAAGCGAGTTTGCCAGTTTTTCAGGAGAAAGACCATTTTCTATGTGCTCCATATTTTTAAATTCCAGCAAACTTTCCAATAGCACTTCCTGCCAAGCCACCAAGTAGTCAAAGTATAGGATTTACAACTAATGGTAAAAACCTACCTTTACGTATTAGTAAGTTTCTTTTCTGCTTAACTGAAGCTTTCTTGGCTGCTAATTATCCCAGTCGCCCCCCAATGGCCAAGCGGTATGTCTGCGGACTTACAACGCTATAAACCGGGTTTCGATACCCGTGGTGGGCAGAGCACAGATAGCCCATTGTGTAGCTTTGTGCATAAATTCATAAACAAACAATTATCCCAATCTTTTTCTATGTTTCTGTTTGATATGTTCGTTATGGGGATTCTACCCTTTAAAACATTTAAAGTATATTTACAAATACGTATAATGAAATTATTTTGAGATTAGGCAGTTATAATTTTAATCTGTTTATGTGCTGCTTTAGGTAATGCGTGGATCAGCTCTTGATGGTTTAGCACATGGTGATTAAATTAATTGAGTTTGTGTCTACAAGTAAATATAAGTCATACACAAAAACACTTCTTATTTATACAATACCGTAAATCAGGTTAAATACAATGTCTTTTTTTTCATGCCACAACGATAGTGGTTGCTTCTGTGACATGTACAAGATAAAGTTGATGCTAGAAGTTGTTTAACGGGGACATCCACTCAATTCCAAACTGAAGGAAGGAAAATTCACCAGGTTTCCCATAAAGTTCACTTTCTTTTCTCTTTTTGTAGACAGTTACGAAGTTCTTGTTTTTCCAGCATTCTGGCCACATACAATAGATGGGTATAGTCGGTGTTTCCATTTTCCGAGGGTAGTGGATGAAGGTAACTGGTTACCCATTCACATTGATGGCAACCAGAATCCGAAAGATAATCACTCAGAGAAAGTTGATCAAAGAAAAATACAATTATATAATGGCCGCGCTTTAGATAAAATCCTTTTATCAAGGCCAGAGTCTTGTTAACTGATAAAAGATATTCAATGAATTATCACTTTTATCTTACTTGGTAACATAAACCACAATTGTATTAACGGGAAACATTCCTGACTTGATGCGCATTTGTTCTGGAGCTTGTGATTTTAACGCAATGAGTAAATAATGAAAAGGTTGCTGTTCTGCTACTTGATAAGCTTCTTCAGAATATTTGACACGGGTTAAAAACATTTTTCTTACTGATACATTCGTTTGACTTTTATCTCTGACATTTTCGAACACAATAATATATTGAGCATATAAACTTATATTAAGCATTTTTCTATTGATGAAATATATTGGGTATTATATAAAAACTAATAATTTCAAATGATGAATCCCACCACTTGGGGAATATATTTGTTTTCAACTAATAATTTCAAATGATGAATCTCACCAGTTGGGGCATATATTTGTTTTCAACTAATAATTTCAAATGATGAATCCCACCAATTGGGGCATATATTTGTTTTCAACTAATAATTTCAAATGATGAATCTCACCAATTGGGGCATATATTTGTTTTCAACTAATAAGTTCAAATGATGAAT